ACCTTAAATAATTTCTATTCTGGAAGGGACAATCATCAGATTTCTGGCACCCTTTAACCTGGATTCTATGTGCTCACAGCCAGCAGTCTCCATCCTGCAAAACATTTTAAGAATTTAAGTTGAAACCTTATCTTTTCAAAAGTGTTAGTTCCGTGGCCTGGTGGTTAAGGTGGCTGGATGTCACATGGTGGACACTGCAGTTCCCCAGAGGCTTGAGAAACACACACAGTGCATGTGCATGCATACCCAGAATCCCAAAAGGAGAGAGACATGGAGAAGGGATTGTAATGGTGGGGAAGGGAGTGCGCATTCCCCCAGGGGGTACTTTCTCTTCTCCCTCTGTCTTTCTCTGATAAGTCCATTCCCTTCTCCAGGAAAAACAAAACAAAACAAAAAAACCGACTTTCTCTTCTCCCTCTGTCTTTCTCTGGTAAGTCCATTCCCACCCTCCAGGAAAAACAAAACAAAACAAAAAAACCTGTATCCTTCTTTTAAATAGGAGTTTTAGAAATCTCATGGCCTGATTTCATGGCCTTATTACTTAATTACTAAAACCAAAGTCTGAAATCTTAACCTTACTATGGGCGGTTAGAATTTAAATGAACCTTACTTTTTAAGCCACTTAGAAAGACACTTAATTTTTATTTTAGCCCTTATAAATGTTCACTTTGGGGGATTTCTAGTTTTTCCTCAATAAAAGGGAAGCTAAAGGCTCAGCCCTTTTCGGGAAGTCCCTGTTCATTTTCAAAACGAAACCATAGTCTACATGAAACCTTCTATGTGATGTTTATAGCAGTTTATTCACAGCCCCAAAGTAGGAACACCCCAAATGCCCATCAGCTGGTGAGTGGACACATAAACTATGGTACAGCCGTAGAAAGGGGTACTAGTCAGCATGAAAAAGCAACTCACGACTGTTAAAGCGACATGGAAGGATCATAAAATATCATGCCGGGGCCAGCAGGTGGTGTGGAGGTTAAGGCACTGGATCTGACGTGGCTGACTAGGTGGTTCAAGTCCTGGACCCAGCGACTTGCAAAACACTAGACACGTGTGTGCATGTGCCCAAATCCTGGGAGGAGACTGGAGGAGAAGGGATTGCAGCATGGCCATTACCCCAGGGGAGTAAGTTCTCACTTTTCCTCTGTCTCTGATGAGTACATGCACCCTGTAGCAGAAATGTAAATCAAAGAAAAACATCGTGCTATGTGAAAGAAGCCAAACATAGAATGCTACTCTGAACTGTTTTTACTCAAAAAATCAAATTATGTGTTTTTTTTTTTTTTTTTTTTTTTTCTGTTTTCTAGACCAGATTATGTGTTTTTTTTTTTTTCATACCAACAACCAGTTTTCCAACTCTCCAGACAGCACCTGGCTGTCACTACAATATAATTAATTTTTTTTTCTTTTTTTGGGGAAGTTTTTGCTATAGGGCATGTGCGCTCACCAGAAAGAGAGAGACAGGGAGACAGAAAGCGAGAAATCACCCCCCAGGAGGGATGGCCATGCCGCAATCCCTTCTCCTCCATTCTCCTCTTGGGATCCTGGGTGCGCGCGCGCACACACACACACACACACACACATGCCCGGCGTGAGTTTAAGCCACCGGGTCGGGCTCAAACTGGGGTTGACTACATGAGTGTCCAGCGACATAGCCATTACGCTAACTGCTGATCCCTGGTCCCTAAATGTTTTTAAAGTGAGATTTTTGCTGTAAGGCGTGTGTGCTCACCAGAGACAGAAAGCAAGAAATCACCCCCCCACCCCGCCCCAGAGGGGATGGCCATGTCGCAATCCCTTCTCCTTTATTCTCCTTTCAGGATCTTGGGCATGCACACACATGTGCTTGGCGTGTTTTAAGCTGCCAAATCTGGGATTTGAACTGCAGTCGACTAAGTGGGAGTCCAGTGATGTAACCATTATGCCATCTGCTGGTTCTCAATCCAATTAAATTCTGCCACTAACTATTCAGAGTTAGTATTAAACTCCAGAAATCAGAGACTCAGCCCCATAGGACTACACTCATTTCTAATACCGTTTGCTTGTCCCAGATCTTAGATTTCTGATAATCACCTCTAACTTGGGGTTCTTACAACCTGCTCAAGTTCAATAACTTGTTAGAACAGCTCAGAGAATTCAGAGAAATACTTTGCTTACCTTTACTGATTTATTATAAAACATACCACTCAGAAAAAGCCAGAAGGAAGAGATTCATAGGGTGAGGTGTGAGGGACGGCCATGGAGCCCTCTCCCTGGGAGCTAGCCTCCCTCCTAGCGCCTCAAAGTGTTCTTCAACCCAGAAGCTCTCTGAACCCTGTTGTTTGGGGATTTTTAATGGAGGTTTCATTACAAGCCTCCCCCTCCCAGAGCTCAGGGGCTGGAGGTGAAAGTTCCAGTCCTCTAATTGCTCCTTGGTCTTTCTGGAGACCAGCCCCATCCTGAAGCTATTAGAGGACTCTTGTCACCAGCCATCTCGTTAACACGCAAAAAACAATTCTTTTCTTCCCATAATGTATTTACTTTTTTCCTTCTTTCCATAGTTGTTAGTTTTTATACATTTAATCTCTGTGTATCATTACAGCCTGCAAAATGAATGTTCCCAGATGAATACACTGTGTATTTGTCCAGTTAAAGGTATTATACACATTATCAACAGATAATTTCCTACAAAAAACACTTCTTCTCACTCCAGCGATTACAAGGCTTTTAGGAGCTGTGTGGACAAAGACCACGATACATTTCCCACTATGCCACAGCTACACACGTGATTCCACTTACCCAGTTTTGGAAAAGGCAAAACTGCAGGCCGCAGCAATCAGATCAGTAGCTGCCATGGGTGGGGGGGGAGGGAAGCCGATGGCTGC